CTCGGTCAATCGATTTATCGATCTGGCGCCGGCGTACAGAGCCCTGCGCAGTCACCTCCAGTCGTGCGACGTCGGTCGATGATTGGGTCTACGTGCCTAATAACTGTCGCTTGTCCTGTTTCTGCCACTACCTCTGACGATGGACTCCTGTACGAGTCTGAAATCTCAGGATAATAAACGAATTGTTCCGGTGCTCGATTCTTCTTCCTCTTCAAATATTTATCTTTGTGTTTTTGTCCCGAGGGCTGTTTTGTACGAGATGGCAGCAAGTACTTAAGATACTTTTATAAAATAAAAATCCTAATTTATTGCAATAAAAGTTTGATTCACTATTCGGTGCTAAATAGCAAGCCATAATTAATATATTGCAGCAGCAAATCAAAATTTCAAGTAGCCGCATGTGATTTATGAAGTAGGAAATTCGACAATGCATGAAAAAACACCATGGGTGCTTAGTCATAGAGCTATGCAGAAATTCCTCAGAATAAATACAAAGGCAGCATATGCGGGTTGAATATGGCAGTTTTCCTTGATCTCAGACTAATTCGGTAGTTCATCTGTGATTCCTTTCAAGCATGTTTCAATATTACTAAACTCAGTATCTCCAGGTATGGACTGTATGTTCGACGTATGTCCTCAAAAGTCTTCCGACGATTCTGGATGGGCACTACTGACCTAAAAGCGTAAGGATACGCTCGACTGTATGTATCGTGGGGTTTACAGTTTGAGCTGCATTGTAGTAGTAAGTTAATGGTGTTTACATGTTTACAGTTTAAATCCCTCAGTTCTTCTCTGCTAACGCGCGCCAAAGACACATCCTATTTAGATAGTCAACGTGTGTACAGGGGTCTTGGCTGCGGTCTTGAAGATGCGGTAGGGGATTTCGCTGACATAAAGGAAAGGCAATCTACTGCTAAGATTTTCTTAAAAGGTAACTTCGACAACTACTAGTTCAACGACATGGACAGCTACATATATAATAATATCATCTATAAGTATAGCAAAACCCCTAATATATTTCTGCGAAATCGGAAACAAACACAGGAAAGACGTTTCCTCCGATATGCGGCCATATCCGTTGTCACGTCTCACAACAGACGGAGACGATTCTTATCAACTTAACCATACTCCGTGTTAAATGGAGTCGGCACAGTTATCTAGGAGTAGCATGTCAGTTTTCTCCTACCCTTTGTTACCCTCTTCCCAGGGTTAAGAGAACCTTATTCAACCTCCCTGCCCTTATCACTGCGGTAGCGTAAACTGCGTTCTCTGCTGCTCTTTACACGAGGAAAGGGACAGATTAAATCATAGGGGGGAAATTTAATTTCCAGATCTGCTGGCAAATGGTGGACGGGCCTCCGATTTGTCGGCCAATGTGCCCAAGGCCGGCCGCGATAGTCTTAACACTGTCTTGCCATCAGAGTCAGGCAGATGAGGTGGGAAAGTGCAGTAGATGCAGTACAAGGCTACCGCAGTATAAATTAGTTCACGGATAAGTCGCCATTCTGCGACTGCGGAACTGCTGTATCCCTTGGACAAAGAAAATGACAGACCACTATATATATACCTAGAGGGATCAAGTTTCGAACTGGACACTGATCGTGCCCTAAAAAACTGTTGATTTCCTCTCTCACAGTGTAAATTCCGATTTAATGTCGGGTTCAACCACTATTTAATCAACTTTATGACCACTTTTCGTTGATTTTCCGCGAGAAACGGTTGTTAAACCTCAGGCTGCAAAGTGCTGGGGTTACTAACTTCTATTCAGAAGTGAGTGTCAGAATTCAGATGCTCCCATTTCATGCGGTCTCGAGGATATCCCTGCTTATGCACTACCCATCGTCCTTAATTGAAGCCAGTTACAGTGAGTTACCGATCTCATGAAATGTTGGCCTGTTTAGCTGTTGCATAAGCGTTTAGCGATTCCAGTCTATAAAGTGCATGCCTGTTGAGAGAGGACAATCACAAATTCCTCTATGTCTTTATGACGATACCATGTAGAGTCCATAAAATTTTGCAGTGGATGCGGACTATGTTGCACAATCCTTGAAGAGCCTTGGCAAACGGACAGGTACGATGCTGTATGAATGGACACAGCACGGTCCTAGAAAATCTCAATTGGAAACTTTTTGAAACCGAAATATACCCTTCCTTAGGGCATTATATGTGAAGACAATGTAATTTTCTACCAAATAAGCAAAAAGTAGTGATATTTTTGTGAATGTTTTTATCAAATATATTCCAATTCATAGGGCAATCGAAAATCAATTTACAAAGTAAATGCTACATAGGTAGTCATTTTTACCAAGTGTGGTTCCTCCTGGGGGTCGAAAGGAAGGGCATTTAAAAACCGACATCCTGGCTATTCCAAAACACTTTAGGATTATGCCACATGATAATCAGTATTAAAACTCCACCTAAGTAATCCTTTCTAAGAGAAAACGCACTCTAGAATTTTGGCCAACACTTCATGAGGTCGAGCTTGGGCTTAGGTTGTAAGTGGCACGCGTGAACGGGCAGCGTAGAGCCGTTATTCTTATTGGCACATCTAGCAGCCCCAACTTTTGATTGGCATCAAAAACGTGGAAGAATGGGACGGGTCAGAGGCAACACAAAGCTACTTCATTGAACATAAAGTTAACGCAACATGGCCACTGGCACCGCATTCGGCGAGGGGTGGTCTTCAACGCCCTAGACAGATGAACTTTTACAAAGAGATAGGAGTTAGTATGAAGTGTTTCTGAGTTAAGTGGTTACTAGTACGCCAGTCTGCTGGTTCAATCAATTGAGTCATCTTTGGTCAACTTCCGACCATTTAATATCTAGAGTTACTTACGAAATTCTGAAAAATGCTTGTTAAAACCTGCAAATAATAGGCTTGGTCGGGAAATAAAAATGGATAATCTGTGAAGAGACCGTCTGAAGCACGACTAAACTGGTCTGATTACATATGGAAGTACCGTATAAGGTCACCCGGCATTAGTTAACGGAATCTGTAAACAAACTTCTTTAAAGGTGTTTGAAATACCTGGGGTTTTTTCCCAGAACGCGCCAAGATCGTCTCTCTTCATTTACTGGACAGCTTGTTGAAAAAATAAAAGCGCCTAAACTTTGCCACATCTGCTACGCCCTAAGTACTTCACGCATTCCTTTCACATCACATCCAGTAAACTGCAGGATGCAACCCTTGATATTCTGTTTGTGAATGTTTATCTCCGAACCAAGGATGTACGTGAGGTGCAAAGCTATGGTTTATGTGGTCAAAACAATACGAAGGGCGCCTCCTAGGCGAATCAGTGAGGAGAGAATTCCTGGAATTTGGGTCTTTCAGTGAGGCCTGATAGAGGCTAAGTACTTCCCTTTAGACGGAAACTTCTTTCTTTCTCGAACTGTCTTCTGCCCGATGAAGTGGAATATGCTGATGGTTGGACAGTAGGTAATGATATAGTTCGGACAAAGTTAAATTACATTAGTTAATAATATGGCTGGCAGGTATTTGTCCTCTGCAATCTAGCCAGGTGTATTTACATTTGAATGCAGAAAGCTTCATAAATCAGGAACCTTGAATCAGTACAATTAGATTTAATTTGGGGCATCTCTTTGAGAGCATGCCGAAATTGCATTTGGAAAATATCGGCGAGATCCTATTTCGTAGCCACACCTGTTAGGGGCTGGAGTTAGAGGTTAAGTGTTAGGGGTTGGGCTTAGGGGCTAGGCTGGGGTCTGTCTCCTGCATGTACGGCTATGAAATAATATCCGGCCCAAATGTCAGTTAGTGACCAGCGACCTTAGTCTGGTAATCTTCCGGTTAGGGAATTTTCATTTGTTCAGTAACTGTGGGTTGTTATTCGAGTAAACGGAGATTGTTATAAACTGCGTAGCGCAACCTCTTGTTTGGGCAGACCTCTCTTTACGTTTATAATTGCAACTGTGTGCTGTAGGGTATGATCGCCTAGTTTGTTGGTGAGAAAAGACATAAGGGAAAACATGATGCTCCGTTGATACCAGGGAAGCAGCATCTAGATTCTTGTGCGCAAAGCTTATGTGCCGTTCAGAACAACAGCCTTGCATAAATGCCACTTTAATGCATAACGCGGACACGCGGCAATCCACTATCCATTATCTGACTCTGTCTCTGATGATGGATTAGGGTGAGAATCCGAAACGTCAGGCTAATAAAGCACTCGCTCCAGCGATCGTGTCTCCTTGTCAGCAACGCGGACACTCCCAGGTAACTTGCGAACCTGTAATTTCAATCATCCAAACACTCAAAAAATGTAATTTAGTATTCCACAGCGTTCTACCAAATTTCGCATCCCGAAAATTTAGGTTAGATTTCAAGACATCGCTGCGCTGCATATGATGAATTTTGGGGAATGCTCAATGACGACGTAGGCATGTTGTAAACGATGCTTGACAGAATTGATGTGTTCCATATTCCTTCAGAACGATTTCAAATGGCCTAGTTTTGTTAATCCATCTTGTTCACGGGCGGTCATCTCAGATGTATGGACGTACAACTCCAAAATTGATGGTTAAATTGCCAAAGTTTACTGTACATCCAGAGATCCAAAACTATTAGCCCTCAGTGTCAATATGCCTTCATCGAGGAACGTCCGTTTATTTAGTCATTAGTAGATATTCCGTTGATGTTAGTGGTAGCAATAATGCGTACGAATCTTATATCGGATGCCTTTTTAGGATCGCATGCACACTGTACCAAAACAATCTACCTATGTTACAGATACTTGTTTCTCACAGTTATTCCGAAAAAAGGAATTTTTGACAATTGTCGTCGCAAGTTCGAGCACGATGCTAAATAAGTAAATCGGGGTTAATTGCTGTCAAACGTCAATATAAATGGTCTACAAGAGTAAATGCGTAATAGAAGAGGTCAAGACAAAGTCATTGGGCAGTTGTGTCCATATCGCTTGTGCGGGGTAGTACATTGACGAAACTTCATCTCACAATAGTCCACAGATGTATATATAACGACTCCAATGGGTTCGCCGCTGTCTGGTTTCATTGCTGAGGCGATCCTTCGAAAGTTGGAGACGCTGGTGTTCGCAACCCACAGACCAATATTTCGGGCACGGTATGCGGACGACGCCTTCGTCTTCCACAAGCGAGAGATGGTCTCCGAATTTCACACGATCCTGAACTCTGTTTTTCCGGACATCCAGTTCACAAGGCAGACAGACGTCAACACCCAGCTAGCGTTCCTATACGTCCTGGTCTACCGCAAAACCAACGGGAGCCTAAGAACGACGGTATACCGAAAGGCCACCAACACATGTCAGGACCTCAGTTACTACAGTAACCGCCCGTTGTGCCACAAACGTAGCTGTGTCCGGACTATTTACAAGAGGGCGGAAACTCATTGCAGCGAGGCAGCCGACAAAGTAGCCGAACTCCATTATCTTCGGCGGATGTTCATCTCCAACGGTTAGCCTCACAGATTCATCGAACGCAGCAGGCAACCAAAGAAGGCTGTAAGGCCAACGAGAAACCAACCAAAAGTTTGGCGGGCGCTACCGTATATCGAGAATTTATCCGAAGCAGTCGTTCGTTTCTTACAACCAATGAGGATTGGCGTCGCCCACAGACCTGAAGCGACAATAAGACGTCTTCTTATGAGATCCAAGGCCCCTCTGTCACGAGGCGAAACGGCAGATGTCGTCTACCGTGTCCAGTGCAGTTCCTGCGAGGTGAACTACGTTGGAGAGACCGGAAAACGTCTAAAAACCGCATGAGTGAGCACGCAAGGGCAGTGAAAAGGATGGACCAACTTTCATTGGTGGCGGAACGTTGTGCTGCCTCTGGACACACTTTCACCTTCCAGAACACCGAAATCCTAGGCCGAGGTACCGACCAGGTGCCAGGGAAACGCTCGAAGCCTGGCACATCGTACCAAATTCCATCAACCGCTGCACGATTCTCCCAGCGGCTTACCAGGCCCTACAAGTGTGGTTTAATCAACGGAATCAAAGGCAAGAAGTCAGGACCACAAGCCCGAGTGAACACAGTTTGCGCCCAAACACCGATGACGGGGATCAGCAGGCCGATAAGGGACACACAAGCAACCGGCCAGCAACCACCGAGGTGCACACGGGCAGATGCAAACGGGCGACAATTACGAGAAACGCAGGTCAGACACAACAAATGGGGGCAATACAGACGAGTTCAATGACCGTTGCCATCCCGACAAAGCCCCCCCCCGACGAGGAGACGGAGGAAGGGACCGACCAGAACGACAGCAATTAACTTCTCCCCCTGTAGCAGATCGTGCACGAATAGCAGTAGGAACGACGACACTGCCGCATGCTCAGCACCCATAAATACTTTGAGGCGCCGTACAGAACCCACATCCGACGGTGGAAGCTTGTTTGCCTTTGAAACATCAGGCTATTAAACCTATGGTTCCCGAGATCGTTTCTTCTTCTCATATAACGACGTAAACAGGCAAGGCCTTCCATGTTTCAGCCATTTCATGTACTAAAAGAACCTACAATAGTCTGTCACATGTGGTTTACGAGCATGACATCGCAAGTTAGTTTTCGTTGCCGACTGGAAGAAGTCGCCGAATACAAGGCGGTGGTCCTAAACCCAGATGATGTCAAATCCCTGAATAAAGCATTAACTCTCTATAGCCCCCCCATTTTTCATATCCCGCCTGGGATTGAGGACGAAATCTAATCGATTTCCTCGGCATTTATACTGGCATGTTTTACTTGATCCCGTTCCCACTTTAATGTATTGGCGTGACGTGAATTTATCAGGAATAAGCGTGCGCGTGCCAACTTGGTTGCCAAATGTAGAGATCAGACAAATGTGTTGTTTAACTTGTTTAGTTGCATGTATTTGAACGTGTTTGAGGTTTTGTGGTTTTTATCGGTCCAGGGTCTCCAGGCTTGTATGGCGAGGGCCATTTGGAGCCTCGCAAAGGTTCAAAGCCTTGATCCAATCAGTTTTTAGCAGGAGTTGCGAAAGCTCGCTTTGTACGGCTACAGCTTGATATTGCGAATTTGTTTACCCTTGAGTAGTGGAGTGGTGGTTTAAGCGAACTCATTATCCGCACGCTCAAGTATTTGCCGAGCGTTCACCACTTGTAACTTTATGCCATTAAAATGGCCGATACTATGCTTTAAAGCTCTACCTCCACTGACTTTCGAAATGCTAAGAGCCAGTGCTTCGAACACTGCTCTGGTTGGTTTAGATCTACACGCATATTCTCCTCGTCGGCCTTATTATGGTTGACGCTCCAAAGTCTGATATATGCTAAAAATGTTACGCTATCGAAATCCAGCTCTTTGACGCAATCATCGATGCCTGTACAGTAATACAAGCCACTGTAGAAGAACGTTTATGGGCGGGCGACATGTCAGAAATCAGAAGTATTTATTATCTGGTTCCGTCAGAATCATAGGCAGTGGGAAAGGAGGTGAATCTTCCATTTTCGCCACTGTAACGTATCGTGGCAGGATGCCCGCACGAAAACGTGGGAGTCATCTTGGCCGTGTACATTTTGAGGGCTTGGACGAACGTCTTTTGCGAACAAAAAGCTAGGTTTGCTAGCTGTATGAGCACTGGCTCCGCAGTCGCAAGTAATCTTTGACGCAGGACCTCGGAAGACCTCGCCGGCGTTTTAAAAATGACTCAAACTACTTGGTTGGTGCATACAGATGAACGTTATTAATGTAGTGCAGTTTGGCATTTGGGACTGGGAGTTCCAAATCCACACCCATCCACAAACAACGGCCGTAGGTAAAAGGGCGAGATGGTCTGTCTTAAGTTGTCTCGTGCCTCCTTAGAACAGGAAAAGTAAATGTACGGAAAAAAATTTGCAATTTCGTCAGCTCGGACGACTTATCCACTGATGGGTACAACAACCAGCACCCTGCCTAACGATTATTCGAGGGCGGATGAAGAGGACATAGCGAATCATGCTATAAAAATTGACTAAATGCATGAGCATAGATTCACGCATAAGGGAACTAGACGAAGTTTCTTCAACTACACTCCGTTAAACGGTAAATGTTTTTGGACCTCAAATAAATACCAGATCAGCAACATGAAATGTAACCCAAGAAGAAGTAATGGCAAATTTTACTCTTCCAAAATAGATACAAAATTCACGTTGTTTAAATAGTGGTTTTTGTCAGATGCGGTTTTTGCAGGCGGCTGGGGAAAAGCTTATTCAAAAGCCGGCATCCTGGTATTAATGAAGTATACTGAACAGTAACCAATTTTACAAATTCACTTGAGTAATCTTTTTAATCAAAAACATATTTCAGACTTCCGGTGAAAATTTCATGAGACACGCCTGGAAATAGTGAATGCAGGTTTTAATCTTCTTTCTGAACATCCGACCTTGTAAAGTATTGTCCACATGACACGTGTACACATTTACAGAGTTGTTTATGATTAAGGTGAACCTTTTAGTATACGGAACATAATCGACGATAAATTCTTCTATGATGGTTTCGCAGCCAAACGTAATGTCTTAGGAAACAGAATCTGGAGTCTCCTCTTACGACCGAATGAAGCGTTTACTATCACTTGCCTCTCAGCCAACTCCATACTTTTGACTCGGTAGAGTCTGGGAGTTGGATCCGCTTTCTGATATCAGCAAGCAACACCGAACCGGTAATTATGACTCGACTAAGGCTCAATTTCAGGTAGTTGATTCGGTTGAGAAGGAGAATTTCAGAATAAGGCAGTTCTCTCACGGTCAGCAAACTGCAAGGCTTGTTTGGATAGGAAGTTGCAGAAAGCGTTCATGACAGCCCAAAAAGAGGGAGTAGCTAGCTTCATTGATTATGGATAATTTGTGACTCTGAAGCATTGTTCTTACCGAAGCATGTTCGTTCTCTGAGCAAAAACTTTCTACTGATGCTGTGCCAGTAAGGCCGCCTGTTTGTCACAATTAGTGGTTACGTTTAACTTTTAGATTATATTCTACATGAGAATTGACATAAGGCGGCAGAGTATGAGGCCGAAAGACCCACTATCACTGGAGAAAACATCTGGAGTCGTTAGCCGGGTCTGGTGCAGCTGTGGGCAAATAAACTATGACGGAGAAACCGGAAGACTACTGCAGACGCGGGTGGCCGAGCACGCAACAGCGGTGAGGGCAAAAGACGCTTTCTTCCAAGTTGCGGCTCACCCGACGGGGCACAACCACGCATTCAAGTTTGACAAAGCAGAAATTCTTGGTAGAGTCGACAACTGCGTGAGCCGTGAACTGCTTGAGTCATGGTTTTCCGGTTCTCACTAAATCAAAAGCGCAACGACCTGCCCACCCCATATTTGGCGTTGAGACTTAGTCTAGGCAAAGTAGTTAATCACCAGGAGAACATGCTAATAACCATTGTCCCCGATATCAATGTCGGCGAGCCAAATCACCCAAGGGTCCAAACGGATTACGAAATCCGGTAGTCAGCCCCTCGGCTGCTTGCGATGAGCGTGGGAATCGATAATCTTGATCAGCAAACAGGCGAATAGCAACGGCATGGCAACGGCATGTTTCAAAACCTGGCCAGTCGAGCTGTGATGCAATCGGGAGCTGCCAACTGTGATAGGCACGTAGCGGCCTAACAAGTACATCCTATAAATATTGCAACACCTGGGAAATCCATTATCCTTATCTGATTCTGTCTCTGATCATGGGTTCGGGTGAGAATCCGAAACGTCAGGCTTATAAAACACTTGTTTCAGCGATCGTGTCTCCTTCGTCGAGACTAATTCCTGGAACTCGCCTCTTTGCCTCTATTTACAACTAAGTTTCACTAACCATTCTGGAGAGAAAAAGAAGGCGAAAAAGGAGCAGAAAAAGGAAAAGGAGGAGGAGGAGAAGGGGGAGGAGGAGGAGGAGGGGGGGAAGAAAAATAGGGCTGAACCAATTTGCAAGTCCGTTATTTGATATCACAAATAGGCTGCTCTGAAGTCCTGTATATCTCTTATTTGAATCTCCTATTCTTTAATGTTGACGGGATTTCGATGCTAGGGGTTTTAACATATCTGTTTTAGGAATTCCTCAGTTTTACTTCCCGATGAATGTCTAGGTGGGCATGTTGCAGACTTGTCTTGCATGTATTTTTGAACAATACTTTTCCATCCATCCTCCTTCGGTCCTTGAGACTAGACATGAATAAGATTAACTGAGAACAGTTATGAAAACGGAAAAATAGTGAAAATGTTCGGGACGATTATACCTGTGAGTTGGAGACCCAACAGAAACCAAAAGCTTGGAAACATCAAGGTGTGTGAGAAATGCATTTGTCGTTCGCTCTTCGGAACACCGGAAATAACATCAGCCTAAGGGCTGACGCCGGTATGACAGGTGATCGATTGGACCCACACAAAACCCCTCACCAGCGCGTACACAGTTTATTTCATGCGATGAAAATCAGCTCCCGAACGAGTCTTGTCGTTGAATAAACAAACGCATTGTTAATGTCCGCAACGGGTGGAGAGCGTACCAGCCGAACGCAAGTTCGACAAGGAGGTCGACATTTTATGACTACTGGAAGTGTGTCAGTTGACGTGCAAAAGCCGGCACAATGTCAGCAATTCGCATAGTTCACTTAAATGATAAAGAATGGAAAGTCATAAGTCATGCATATTCAATAGGCATAGACTCAATTCTGGATCCTTTCCTGTTCTATTTGTGTATGGCGGAACTAGAGGAAATTGGGGCGATTGTTAACTCTGATCCACTCAGGTCTTTTTGCCTCTCGTACAGAATATTTTTCGATCGTTATCCAAACAAACTTAACTAGACACACATGTAAACGAACACCACGGAAATCCATGGAAATTTTGGAAAAAATAACATAATCAGCACAAATTCATGAAGTCAATAATAATGTGATAATATATTTTTGTAAAAACGACCAGACCATGAAGGTGCATCTACTTGTATGGCTTTGATCGGTACACCGATCTTTTGAGAATAAAAATGTCTTTTGTTGATTTTGTACATTTTCTTTCGTTCATGTAACTGTATTGGTCTGAGGAAGAATTACCGAAAACGTGCGTTCACCAACTTGACTTTTCAATTTTAACATGGGAATATTTGCGGAACTTAGTAATCTAGTTTTTGTTTGTCAAGCAGCAGTTCAAATTACGAGGTACACCGAAACTTATCAAACATTTACTGAGATAATTAACTTCAGGCGATGGAAAATTACGGACAAAGACAAAGGAGGCTGGGATGGCCAATTCGGGATCACTGCTCATCGAACCTCAGGTGCCCACAAACCTGAGGTTGGACAAGGTTGACTAATAATGGCTGAAATGGCCATCCCTTTCTCCCTTGTCTTTGCCATTAGGTTTCTCCTGCTTATATTGCTCCCCGCTGCGCCCCCGCTAGTGCGGCTCGTGAGAGAGAGAGCTTCAAGGCACAACGGTACGGGGAAGTTCCGTAAAGCGGTCGGTGGGCATCCCTTTACCACTTGTATACTTTCGACCACATAAATGGGAGTGTAAAAGTAATGAGCAGGTAAACTCGTGTATTTTTTGGAAAGATTGTCATAATAGCAAATTCGTGGAAATCAACAAACGACAGTTCGACCATCGTTACTCATGATGTCCACAGTGTGCTCCACAGCCGTGTGGGAGCCGAGACAGTGACTTGCGCATGAATTTGTTCATAGTGATAGTAGACTTGGACAGCTTCTACTACACGCTCCCCTCCTACCTAACCTGGACTCCGTGTCAAGGGAGAGAGTCAAGAAGACCGGAGGCGAGAGAGGACGCAGGTGGCTGGCACGGCGAAAACCTGCTCCTTGGCATCCCTCTGGTCAGCAACGTTCATTTACCAGGATTTTATGCGACAGTAATAATAGGTCACGGTCCGGATTCCAATTGGCGCGTCGTGGGCCCGCATCTGGGCGTGCAACCACACCACAATGTTGACATTTACTATGGGTACGAATCTTCGATAACGCCTGCTGGGGTCCGACCTAGCCCCTTTGTTGGCCCGACGCATCTACTGCGTGATCCGTTTTGGAGTAAAAAACCAGCAAATACCACCCCTCGGAATACTCAACAGAAACTTTAATAAAATAGAATAAAATAAAATAATACATCCGACGACATATAAATCTCTGTCCTCATTTGAGCGACAACTTTAAATTTGGAGTTTCAATTTTTTGCGCGTTTGATTAATCCTCTGAGGGCGTTGTGACATAGCCAGAGAAAATTGGAATGCATTTCGGAAAAACGATTGACCAGCGATTTCGTAGCGAAGTATGCCGCTGGACAGCCAAACTATTCCTCAGAAGCTGCTGTACGAAATACCAATCTCAATAAGCCGTTTGCTTAGGACGAGAAACTGAGCAAGTAAAGAAAGCGTATTTTGATATCAGGAATTTTGCAAAACTTTCTGGATACTGAAGTCTAAATGCCCTCCCAGCGGAACTAGCTTTCTGTGTGACACACCAAAATAAACAAACATGTCAGAGAGCCGTCCTCGATCGCATTACGATCGTCCCATTATGCCTTGGGGTTCTCTCTCTCTTGCTCCAAGAGCGGCCGCACAACGGTGCGTAATATGGGTTCATTGTCATTGCCGACAAAGACTGGAGACTGGAAGAACCATTTGTGGCTTATCAGCCGCCCTCAGCCGGCCATAACTCACGGATTGAGGGATCAAACCCCAGGTGGTGCACATCTTGTGTTTGGATGTGGCCGGCTGATGGCGGTTAATAAGTAAGAAATGGCTACTCCAGTCTCCCATGTCTTTGTCAGTAATGCTATTCTGACAAACAACCATCTTGAAAACTCCTTCTGTGCTCCTGCTCCTGCGCGACCAATCTCGCTCTCTCTATTGAGGTATTTCGAATGATTTTTCGGTGAATCAGATGTCAACGTTCGACCAAAACTACTGCGAAGACGAATCATACCGTGCAGGATGCAGTGACTGTCTACGCAAAACAGCCTTTAGGAAGAGTTTTCTTGTGTAAATAAAAATTGTTAAAACCCTGTCGACACTATGATAAGGGAAAATTTAGTATTCACCTCAGTTCAGCTCCCGGACACCAACAGCTCTCCACTCCATTTAAAAACTGGGCATAAATGCTGTTTGAGAGAAGTTATGAACAAAAAACAAGTACGTCCTTGTTAATAACTAAGTTCTCACTGTCTTTAGTCTTTGGCTTAGCTCCGCCAACAGCGATTGAGGTGACCGTCAACAATGGTTGTACGGGTCATCGACAGCAGTTCAGTCATAGTTTCCTATGACGTCCACGGTTTGTCCCACAGTAAGGTGCGCCCAGGAACGGGAACTTGCACGTAAGTTAGTATGTGGTGATAGTAGACTTGCGCTGATGGATTCGAGAAGGAATCCGAAACGGTAGGCTAATGATCTCTTGTCCCATTGGTCTTGTCTTCTTCTACAAGACTTTCGTTGTGTCTACCGGACTTTCTCCTTCCTCACCAAAAGGATCCGGTGTCGAGACGCAGTCAAGAATAACAAAGGTAGGATCGTTCGCAGGTTACTGGCGTGGGCTGAGCCTGCGCCGATGCGCGTCACCACACCCTCCATGTTTTCCACTTGTTATGTATCCACAGTTCAGTAGCACGTGCCGGACCCTAATGCACCCCCACATCGGTCCATCGAAACTCCCGCGTGGCTTGTTGTAAGTGGCACAATCAACAATGAATAATATATTGACGCTCAGGGCATGGATATCGGCCTTTCCCACAGCGGATAATTAGCAGCGTTAAGATGTCCCAAAAAGCAGATCCTTGTTCATCCGTCCATCTGCAAATGCCACCGTCACTAAAAAATTAGAGCGTATGATTTTTTCATACCGAGTTTTGATGTCTTTACAAATTCAGCCCCGTGCCCCGATGGTCATAACAAGCCGGCCTTGTCATGCGGGTTGTATGGGGAAGATGATTGTCAATAGCTCTTGACCTTTTGGCAGATTTTGAATAATTCATATTGACTCAACTGTGAAAAGTTCGGCGTCTTGGTGGGATTCGAACCCACGCAGTAAGGGGAAGGCTTTAGTACAGCCAACATTCTAACCACTTGATCTACTAGGCCCCGTCGGACGACGCGAGTTTAAGCACATTTGGGTCAAGTTGCACGCCCAACCTACAGCAACGCCTGGAATCCACAAAATCTGATACAGTAAGTTGACTGTCCAAGCAGGATTTCCCAAGTAATTCACCTAGAATCCACCAGATGACTACTAGGCTTAAGTAATTCACAGATGTTTTGACAGATGTTTAATAATTTTTATTGACCCAACTGTGAAAAATTCGGCGCCTCGGCGGAATTCGAACCCTAGCAGTAAGGGGAAGATTTTATTACAGCCAACGCTCTAACCACTTGAGCTACGAGGCCTCGTCGGTCGACGCGAGCTTAATCACATCTATGAATTACGTAAGGCTGGTAGTCATCTGGTGGATTCTAGGTGAATTACTTGGGTATTCCTACTTGGACAGTCAACTTACTGTATCGGATTTGGTGGATTCCAGACGTTGCAGTAGGTTGGGCGGGTAACTTGACCCAAATGTGATTAAACTCGTGTCGTCCGACGAGGCCTCGTAGCTCAAGTGGTTAGTGTTTACTGTACTATAGCCTTGCCCTTACTGCGTGGGTTCGAATCCTACCGAGACGCCGAGTTTTTCACAGTTGGGTCACTATGAATAACTCTTGAGTCACTTATAAGCACTATGGACTTATATTTTCGATTTCAAAGTAACTGTATTCGTCTGATTAGTTTCTGAAAACATGGTTTTCTGAACCTGACCTGCAGTTGCATTTGCGTTTAGCGTTTCCAAAACAGCTGCTTTGCAATTTTCGTGTAAGGAAAATAACGTTTTTTCCTACCCAAATAAGATATCACAAAGCATCCATAACGTATCTCATAGGGTGTGTATCGTGTTTTATGCATAAGAAACAGCATTAGTAAACAGAAATATACAACGTTACATGGATGAACAATTCACGGTCTTAAAAAATCCCATAACTGTGAACATTATGGTCCGAAGGATGCCCTTTCTTCAGGTGCAAAATTAAAATAACCCAAAGAATTCTTCTTACCTTTCTTTTTCTTTTAGTTTTATTTCTTCCCATTATTTTTCTTCCTCTTCACCACCGTCTTCATCTTTCCTCTTCCGAAAGACGTTGAATATGGTAAGATGCCTGGAACGCAATCTCATGCATACACACATATGTATGATATGCCTGGCTGATGCCGACTAATAAGCCAGAAATGGCTACTTCAATCCTCACGGTCTCTGTCGTAATATAATTCTGCCCAAAGATGTATCGAGGCGGTCGTCACTAAGGTTATGGGACATGCTCACAATTTTGTCCTTTAGAGCTAGATTCAGAGCCTTCACAGATCATCGAGCACAGATAAACAAAGATTAGAACAACTATCGAAACACACAGTGATCACATCGATAGCTGACGATGGCAAGTATCTGGGAGAATTCGTCCCTGTTTTTCTTGACTTTATGTGTACCCCTTCCTAATAAATATTTCAGAGCAGAGTTAGTTTGCATTCCGAATTGACATAATGCAAAAGAGGGCCTTATTCTGAAAGATATTTAAACTTTCTTCCGGATTTCTAAGATAGCGACACCAGCTCGTTCCAGGAAAAATGAATAAGGGGAAGAGTGCAATCGTAAGACACGAGAACAGGTACCTCCTCCGTATGAAATGTGGCTTTGTAATAAATGCTGGTAATTAACAATTTCTTTGCCTTAGGCCTATCGTCAACCCTAGCCTTAAACCTAACCTTAATCCACCGTACATTTAGGGCACAGTCACCTGTATGCGAGGGCGCACATTTCCGTCTCCTACACGTAGAATTATTACACAAGAGCATTAGGGACTATAGGGGTCAACGAGAGCATGGGTGCCTGTGTGAGGTGCCCACTGAGTTACAGCGGGCTTCGAAGGAAGCCAGTACGGTAACGGCTTTCATACTGGAGGAGGAGGAGGAGGAGGAGGAGGAGGATGAGGAGGAGGAGGAGAAGGAATAGCTGATCAGTTAGCCATGCTCGCAAACTCTCGTATTGAGCGTCTAGGTCAACATGGCGGCTGATAATGCCCTTACTGGACTAAAAAGCCCGATAAATTCTGTCGCTCTTTTTGTTAGCCATGCCGACGACCTCATTATCGCCTCCAATTGAGTCACTGGTCCAATTTTGGCGCGTGCGCAAATAAGATTGACGGGGGATCACGCCGACAAAAGGCTAGTTTGCATTCGTAAGTGCAAGTGCCCAGACATCAATCAGCTTGATCCACCTATACGCAGGCTCTGCAAACGCATGGGACGTGATAGGTTACGTTCGTCTGCTTCTCACTGGGAATGGGACCCTATATCAGAGAAAAGCCTATGCCTGAGGCTTGTCGACGATGCAGATATCGAAACGATCTATCTGCGGGGGATCACTTCAAGGACTCCTTACACATAAAGCAAGGTCTGAAATATCTGCTGCATGATTTATCCACTGGGGCAGGGTTCCTGTGCGTCCTCTGAAGTCCGAGACATTTCTTCATAAATTTAATCGAGTATTCGTTAGAAGGGAATCCCCTTGGTCCTAAACGCTCTTATGTGATAACTTCATTTTCTTTCTTATTCCTTCTGTCTGATGGCGGGTCGTTGAGCACAACTTTCAAATTCACGTGTTCAATTCTCTTTCTTTCCGAAGAACCTCCTTTCTTTCATTATCTCGCTCGAAAGGCCCACTGCCACTGCTCTACGACATATATTGGGCGTCAAACGATTGTTACTTCCGAATATTTGGAGAGGTTCGCACGAGCAGTCGAAGACTCTCAAAAAATAACTCTTCTTCACTTCTTTTGTGATAGTGGCGAGTTCTTATCTAATCGGTCAAAGTTTTTTTCCCAATCTGCTATAATGTTAGAAGATTGATGGGTCTTCATTTAGACTGTTAAACCAAATATCTACATTGATCATGTGCGGTTTAAATTTTAGCGCAATTGAAAACCAAAGATCGGCGCTACTTTAGAAGTATATTACGCCAAGCGAAAAGCATCCCCCCACAGAAACTTTTGTCGAGAGGAGTATAATGATCAACCTCAAAATTCCTGTCAGCCGCCTCATTTTTCGACGTACGTGACAGGGACAATGTTTGTGGGTGAAGCACCCATCACAAATTGATTTTATTGTGCCTACGTTAGCTCTAATAGCACTATAGACAAAATAAGCTCATCAGTCTTAGGTGAAATTTGTTATCTACTTCAGTCATAAAAGTTTAGAGCAGAATTTAATGTCGTGTGTCCTTTCAGTAGCAGTTTGCGAATAAACCATACATGTTCCAAGCTGGCAAACAACTGGTGTTTACTACTCTAGTCGTTCGAAATGACATATTCATAACTCTAAAACGCCCATTCACGGAATACAAGAGTCCGCATTCCCGATTCCACTCATTTATTGCTAGCTGATTCGATGCGCTACCTTTAATGATAAATAGGAATTTAAGATCAGAAGCCTGATCCGACCAAAATAGATGTGCGAACATATCTCGCGGTTTTATCTTGCAGTTTTATATGAATATTTTGCTACTTAAAACCGGCACTTTTAACTGCGGAGTTGAAGCGCCGTCTCGCAAGCATCCGACCGTTTGTTCGCACATAGATGCTGAGTAATATTAAACACAATGCAATTCTAGTGCAACCTAGTCTTCAAAAGTCGATATGTTACTGATTCCTAGTTATGCAAATCAGAAAACGTCTCAAAAGCTGCCATTACTTCTCAGCCCACATTAGTGACAATTCTCTAAAAAACGAATTTTACATATTCTTAGGTGCAGATAGAGGCTAACCATTTTGGTGTTACCGTTCTCAAAAAGAAGAAGTGGAGGATGGGTTACCGGCTGATGGAATGATTTCCAAAGCTATTTAGTGAGGCTTCTTGAAAATAGAAAAAAGTTGTCCCGTTAATGCGTAATCACTTTGCTCGTAGGAACGACAACATTGCCTTTCTGCTTTCAACAAAATCTGCACTTATTCTACGGAAGTCAACGGGAGTCAACGCAGGTATTATTTGTAAGAAGATGCTCACCTCAGCTTATCTGACCAGGGTTCTTTATATATGTGTACTAGTTACTCTGAGTTTGTTCGTTTTTCACCCTTTGTCAGTTTGTCCCCCGGTTTGAAAGTAAATGTCCGGCTACCACACGCGATTGCATGGCACACTGAATACAACTATCGGACGTCAGGAAGACTTATCAGTGTCGCCAGGGCAGATACGCCTTTTTTGTAGTGAACAGAGACCTTACACACACCCATTCATTTTAACCGTCGTCAAAAAAAATCTTGGCATGCATCGTTCAACTGGTTCATAAACAATAGGTCGAGGTTCTGCATAGAACTTAGTCCTCAACCAAGAAGGTGGCAGTTTTGGCAGATAAAAGGCAGTCGATGAAGAAAACACACGCAGAGCGGCATCGCGTTCACTGTTTACACCTCGGGTCGAGTGTGCCGAATTAGGTGGAACGACACAAACGTTCAAGAGCACTCGCCACAGAACTGTATCCAGAGTGATCCAGGAAGGCTTTCAAAACTGATAGCTACTGAGCGGGATGAAACACGCCACTAGTGTTCTGTTGGTTGCAGCCTTCGGGAGCATCCTTTTCGCCGCTGAGGGTGTGGTATTCGGGGATAAATCTAAACCACCAACCTTCGCATCACCGGACGACTATGGGTAAGTTTTCATCGACAGAACTTTATGCAACAGTTAAAAAGTCACAGATACCGATCGTTTACTCCCCACCTTGTTAAGTTCTCTTTGACAGTAATAATTATGCGGATGCATATCCGAAAACGAGTCGCCAGAGGTGATTTATCTCATTAGGTGAGATAAGGGTATATTAACCAAGATATTTCATACATATTGCTTTAATAGAAATCCGTATAAAAGTGTCTCAGAACGTCTTGTGTAAGTTTAAACTAACGCTAGAAATGCTGCATTTAAAATTATAAACAAAGAATAGTAAAGCAAACGTATACCATTAAAATGTATTTCAAAGTTGTGGGATGTGGAAATTTGCGTGTAACTGAGAGTATTCATAGCTGACTGTCATTCTCTCACCTAGCGGGTGCACAACCCCATTGTTGTGCTTCCTCTGACACATTCTGATGAGCAATCAAAAAGAATAGGCGAGGGGTTGCGGATATGTTACGTCTGTTTGGCATGCAAACGGATTTAATCTAAGTCCAAAAATTGGTTATGTCGAGTAAGGCAAAACTGTAGACACTTTGGAATATTCCGTCGATGTACGCTTTGTGGAAGTATACCTAGTGTTGGATCATTTTTAAAGAGTGGTTCTTCTTTCCGGAAGCCGCAAAAACGAGTTAAGTTTTTGCTTCCAACGGGTTGGTCGCGGAAGTGCACTCGTTCATTATCCGTCAGATCAGTTGAGCTGACGTTTTATTTTGAGTGGAGTGTAATACTGGCCAGAAAGGCAATTGCAGTTTTTATGCTTAAAATATTTTGGCTTATTGAGGGCAATGTTTGGGAAATGCAGTGTCCTTTATTCCTGGCAAGAGCAAATATACTCTGTAGGGTCTTTTGCTAGCGACAAATTTTGTCACTGCTTACCAACTGCCGTCTTTCAGTTCATGGCATGCATAACGAATGATATCTTACCGATGCACACTACCTCAAAATTATTTTCATTAATTCACATGCACTTGCAGATTAAAGCATATTGGACGAACGTAAAGGCATTCAGGATTCGGGCCTGTTAAACACCTGTGTAATTGTTTTTCAAAGTCAGCAAATAAAATCCGCCGCTCATCTACCTCAAAATATCTGCCAGATGATTGATAATATCTTGGTCTAGAATAAGCCTTCCTAGTTCCTTATGGTATACAAATAATTGATGTGATGAGTTAGACAGACGAAACCCTCTAAATTTGACTTCTGTGAACAACCAGATTCTGTCTTCAAGTTTGCGCACAAAATTGATCGTTATCTTCTTTCCATACTTTCAACAGCGTTTTTGACTAATTTATCATCGGGAGGATCTGACATGTGTTCTTACGAATGATCTTATCTGTCGAACACTAGGTTTCTGGACAAAAATAAACTTCTCCGTACAAATTGCTTGTATTTTATTTATAAAAGTGCAATAAGCAGCCGCAAAGCACTTGCAAAATATATTTATTTTAGTTAATCTTGATAACTGTGCGTGTTTCCATCTTGGTCTGTTTTCTACTTATCATTTTCTGCTCCCAAGGTCCAACCATCCTGCGGATAAAGCGTTGTCGCTCACCTCGCATTGTTTTTAATCGTCGTGAGCTGCCCATCGGCCAGCCTTTTTTGTTTCAAATGTCATCTTCAATTCATTGGGCAGTCCCGGCTCACCTTGGGTTCTATACCCGTCCAGAATATAGCGAAAAATAGTATTCAGAAATCCATAATTTCTTGATAAGTTTTCGGCATTCACCTCTGATCGACCAAAAGATAATCAACGACCGCAACATCTGCTATCAGAAACACACTGTCTTTGATTGTTCATTTGTGGGTGGGTTAGCGTGAAAAACTGCGTAATCGGCCCCGCCTCAGAAGGTCGTCAATACGGAAAATCGTATGAGAACTCCTATCTGAAACAGAAAGTTCGTTAAAAAAATCCATGATCCGATAATAGCAATTCGGTTGGCCAGTAAGTCTGTGAACATGGAGGCCACGATGTTATACAATTTGATGGGAGTGTTCACGGAGATCAAAATAGTCCTTCTAGTCGAAAACATGGCAGCTGCAACTTCCGCCTCCCAACTTTCCCATGTATCTTTATTAAGCACTCTTGGCAGAAAGCAGTTCCGTAAAGATGTGGGTGCAGTCAGGTTAGTTTGAGTTAGCGAAGGGACAAGTTATTGCGCCTGTGCGGCCTAATCATATGAGAAGAGAATTACTTTTCCGTTGAGTTCGTTCAGCACTTACGAGTGCAACTAACGGAAAAGTTTCCTCAACAATATGTGGACGCTTTTGGAAGAAACTTATGACAAAGTC